CACCCCCCACCCCACCCCCTCCTCTCGCCACACATGGACCCGAGGGGGGCACTTTAGCCAAACAAGGGATTTGAAGATCTGAGAGCTAAACACAGGAGACCGATGCTGTCCTCGGAATAGTCATGCAAATTTAGGATGAAGGTATCGACTGGGCATATTCGGTTAATTGTACGTTAAAGGGAGGTGTGGGGGTGTTGTTATGAGTCATTGCTGGCTCCTAATTGAAAAGCAGCAGGAGGCATGGGGGGGGGGGCATGAAAGCGCACCTATGGGCTAGTTGCTTCAAAGAAATTTATGGAAAAAAAGTATATATTCCTCAGCAGTCATTATGTTTGGAAAGCAATACTGTGGCTAAATCATTAGTTGATGGGATAATTAATACAGGGCAAGGAGGTTGCAGTTAGAGGAAAAAAAACAGTCATTTGTTACTGTTGTCAGTAAAATGGTCTGTTCAAAAGATGAATCAGCTCTGTGGGACATCTAATTTAGATTTTTTTTTTTAAGAAAAAAACAACACGACAGAGGGTGGGAAAAAAAAACAAATCATGTGTCCATCATTTGCCGTGCACTCGCATGCACATGCATAGCGGGCGCCCCACCGCATCCTCCAGCTGACTTATTAGCTTGGGCTTCAGGAGCTTTACTGAAACGATGACAGAATATCCACATGCGGGAAATAATAAAATGCCCATCCTTGTTCTCTGGGCATCAGATGAGCAAACAGAAGCAGAACAAAAGGATCTCAGGCAGCTGAGAGGTTTTCGAACTGACGTGGAATTAGCATCATTTTTGATGAACGGGTGGAGTTTTCATCTCTATTTCATTTTTAATTGATTGTACATTTAAAAAAAGTCACTTCATAACTCTTCACATTTAATGTTACAGTAATAATCGATGACAAATAAGTTATGCTGCCAATGTAGCGTAATGTTGTTGTTTACAGTGCTAATGCTATCGCTTAGAATTGCTAGCGCTGCTATTTTGGGGAAGCTGGATATGTGTTGAATATTGATCATGACAATGCCCTTTGATCAAAGACTCGTGGGGGGCGGAGGGGTTAACATCTTAGTGAAGTAAGGCTACATTCACATCTTGCCCCTTTAATGAATTGTTAATATTCCTCTAAATTGTGCGGGATTCTCCTCCGCAGGACAATCACTCTCGATGTGATAGCTATATCTTGTCAAGACATCCAACAATCAGGCCTTTGATCAGAAAGGGAGGAAAACTGCTCAAATTCCGCCCGATTGTGTTTGTACCTTGCTTAATTTGACAAACTTCACCGACTCTGTGAATAAATCCTTCTTTTTCCTCATCTCCAATGACCTTGACGTTTCATAAAAAAATGTTTTCCTGCCTTTCACGAAGCAAATTATTCTTACGTGTGCTTTCAACTATGAGACGTTGTATAATAATCTGACGTGAATTGTTTTGGAGTCTGTTTGCCTGCAGATTTAAAAAACACGAACAAAAGCCCGCCCCCAAAACACAGGAAACATGTTTTCCTCATTAAGATCACCTACCGTGCTGTTACATAACACTCAAAACACTTTACTCTTGGTGAAAAAGAATCGCACACGAGAAATGTGAGGCAAATGTTTCCTAAATTGGTTGCATGCCCCGCGTCACATTCGGGGAAGCGCTGGTTCACCTAAGGATCCTTCATGGAAAAGGAAAACAAAACTGCCAGCGATATGATGTACGCTGAATTATAAACAAACTAAACAATGTTTGTCCTCATTAATGTGTAACTCTACCCAAGTAATTCCCAATGATGATGCTGAGGCACACTGGTCAAGGTGGAGGGAATTACGAGCAGTTCCAAATAGCACTCAGCAGTGTTATCGCAAAACCTTGCAGCTTCTCTTCGAAGTACAAAGCAAAAATCGTATTAAATATCAACAAACAAAAAACTATTATTTGTCGCCACAGGAGTCGCTAGAAGACATTTATAATGATCATCTCAACCAACGGCTCCAGCAAAAAAAAAAGCCGTTATGTTTCAAGAAAAGATCTTTTTGACAGTGTGCACGTCAACTTGAGCGCTTTCTCTTTAAAAGCCGAAGGGTTCAACCTCGGGACTGAGAAGTAAAACCGCTCATTATGATATGGTGAGGTGCGCTCTTTGCCTCTCCACTGATCAGTCACCTATCCAAATCGAGTTCACACTTCAGTTTGTCAACACAGCGGGAGAAGCTAATGTCAAACAGTCGCAGTCGGAAAATCCGCCGCCGACGGCGGCAACCGTTATTTCACTTGGAACGCAGCTTTCTCTCTGCTGCAACAGATGCGGAATTGTGCGCTTGCTTTAAGCAAAACTAATCAAAGTCAGAAAGACTGAAAGGATGAAATCAATGCTCCAGACTCACTCTCGAGCTGACGTTGGGGATCCGAGCGTTCTGTAATTCAGTGGGAGTGGTGTGAAAGACAAGACAACAACAAACCTCTTCAGAGGCCCCGGTCGTCACGTCATCCTTCAGGCTGCAAGAAATGGATGTGCTTCATTTTGCCACCCATAATATCTACGGGGCTTTCCGCTCACCTTCCCAGCAGGCACGTGCTGCTCTATTAAAACTGTCCATCGTCTTATTTCGGGCGACCTGCAAGAGGCCTGAGAGTTGAGGGAGTTCACGCGCAGGAGCACTGCGCTGTCTCTCAGTTTCAAGACTGCCTGGCTGCACAACAAGTGCACCAAAAAGTTTGAGCGCTGCTCTGTGTAGTCAAGGAAAGCAGGATTCTTCTCTCGCAGGCTTTTGGACAAGCGGTCCGCAGGGAGCAGCCGTACTCAAGCATCCAGAAGGAATGTCAACATATCAACAAGAGAAATTTCGATCACACCATTCCAATTTTTGACAATACAGTCTGAGCTCTTTTTGAGACTGTCTGTGTTCGTCTTTAAAATATCACAGTTGGAAATGCAAAAAACGAATGTAAACAACAGCCATGGGGCAGAACATGGGTTGCCCGTATTCATTTGTCAGCATGCGGCTGTTGGAAATTTTACGGAGACTAAAACAACAAATAGAATACCTTCACGCTTTTTTGATGGTGTTCCTACCCCAACATATTTTGCGTGCCGAAAATCGAAAAATTGCGACTATCATGACTCAGTGTTAAGCACTAACAGACACTCAACAACAACAACAACAAAAACAGGTGTTCTCTCCCTGAGTCTTAAATTTACATGATGGGTGGAAGCTGATTATCATATTACATGTTCGAGGCAAACTAGTGACGATCTCACAAAGAGGCACAAGTGGCAGAGGCGGCGATGTAATTTAGACCTTTGTGGGTGAACGAGCATAAACAAGACAGCCCACCGCCTGGCTTGGAATACGTTTGGAAACTTGCACCAGCAGGGTGCAAAGAAAATGTTTGCACATTCACCTCACTTATTTATTCATGCAGAAAACAAGGCTCCAAAATAGTGAGGGTAGAGGGGGTTGCTTTGGCACGGGCAAAACATGAAACATCTTTCATAAAGTGGGGGGGACTGTTTGTTCAAAATGAGAGTAGGGTACATTATGTGAGAAAGGAACCGACAGAGTACTATGTTTACACTTAATATCTTTTATAGTTGAATGCTTCTGGATTATACCACCTTTGACATTTTTTTAAAACGAAAAATTCTGCCTGTGTGGTTTTATTATTTCATTTTTAGCAGAATAATGGCTAACATCTGCAATTCTGTTAAGTCTCACAGCTGCCCTAAATATGTCATGACGGCACCAACACATCTCCCCGCGGGCCAGTATCCTTCTCCACATGCTGCACCAGCGAGAACGTCTTCGAAACGCCTCACACACCCCGCACCCCAACCCTTTGCCTTGCCGCTTTTTTTTAACTTGTAGCTGAGGGCCTTTTTTTTCCCAGGGAACATCCCTCAACACACACGATGAGAACTTCTCTCCTTCTGCTTTTAAATGATGCAATTTTCTGACTTGGTGAAATGAGCAATGGCTTACATATGATGAAAATGTAGTTGAGGTGGACCTTACATTCGAAGATGAAAGCTGACTGAAAGCTATATCCCGGTAGTCAGAGTTGGAGTCACATGGCAGTTGGGAGTTGAGTAAATGTGACCATTTGTGTCTATCTATCTATCTATCTATCTATCTATCTATCTATCTATCTATCTATCTATCTATCTATCTATCTATCTATCTATCTATTTAGCTAGTCAGCTAGCTAGCGAGATAGCTACTGACTACTGCATCAACATTTGGAGGAGACATCAAAGACTATTCTCCTCAACCAATCAGAGGACAGAAAAATCAGACGCCGTTTCTCAGTTTGCATTCTTGAGTCCATTCTAACATCCTTGTTAGCTTGTGAAAAGTCACCAGTTGTGGCCCAAGTCCTGTTCCAGTTGAAAATCCACGTCAACCAAAAATGCACAGAATACTCAGATGTTGTTCTTGTTTGCTAGCTTAAACCACTCATCCATCATTTGGTCACTTGTGAAGAATTGGCTGAGAAATTATCTCAAGATGCAATTTGCGCTGCGATTAAAATATCTGAAGAAAAGACTCACATTTTGAAGTCCCCCCCCCCCTTTATAATTCACAGAAATACGTCAGAAGTGAGAGCACACAGCCCTTCCAGTTACAAAGAAACGTGCGGTCTGAGGAAGTGTGTTGTCAAGTATGGTCTTCAGAAGATCGTACTTGCCGAGTTCACAAGACTGTACTCTGTGTTCTTGATATTGGGAAACGTCTTGAAGCCTGCTTGCAGGCCCTGCTTGGTGAACCTGAAATGTGATTGGTTATTTTCAATGATCACAAAGGTGTTCAAATCTGGTAGGACAAAAAAAAAAAAAACCAAAAGCACAAAAAACCCTACTGGAAGCTGGACATCCAAGACACACTGTGAAATGACCATTGTAAGTATTGTAATATAATTTTATGCCGTTTATAAATGGAGGTCAGCGCTTCTGAAAGTGGTCATGCAACTGTTACTTCCCAGCCGCTTCCATGTTGTTGTTAATTCTTCGAAGCAAACAGTTTACTCCCAGAGGTGCCAACGTATTTATTTTTAGCTTAGCTGAAACCAAACATTGATATCGGACTGGGAGGCAAAGGGCGTAGCCTAACGAGCCCGTCCGCGAGCTACGTTGCGGCTCTCACCCAGTAGGATTCCGTTTGATCCAGCGCAGCTTGAGGCCATTGTTCGATCAGCTCGGCGAGTGATGCGCCAAGGCCGACCGCTTCTGGCCTTCATCAAAACAGGCGGGGATAATGTTATGGCATCGGCGGGGGTTTGCAGTGGAAAGTTATCCGGTAAATAAGCAGCACATTAGATGGCAGGGGAGTGGAAGAGTTGAGCTGCACAGTCACCTTGGTGGCCTCTGATTTGTTTTCCATCCCATCTCTGTGGTTCCCTAAAGAGAAGCTTGTGCTGCAGTCTGTGCCCTGGTGTTTGCTTTGTTCTCTTTCCACCCCTACTCCCCCACTGGCTCTGTTTTTTAACGATCACTCCTGCTTGTGTTCATCGTATACTGAAGATGAAACTTGCCCGACTCATCAGTATGTACAGTATACGCGAACATACAGTAACCTTTACAGGACATGTACTCATCATGCGCATTACTGCCTGCAGCTTCCTGGAGTGTCTCAGACGATTGATTCCCCAGTGTTCGTCTCCCGTGTTGAGAGTGAACAAGAGTTGTTTGAGGTAAGCACACTTTGTGCGGTCGCTCATTTGAACAAAACACGTGCGTGAGATTTGGAGCAAGAGGCAGTGTTGAGTTTATTGACCTCAATTAGTGTTACAGTAAAACAAAAAAACTAAGCAAAAAAAAAAAAGGATTTAATCAAATAAAGTGTAGTTCCCTGTTAAGCTAACAGTTAGCCTAGCTTCTTCTATCACAGTGATATCTCCCAACGGGAAGCCTTGGTTTTACCAGAGACGTGGTTTAATGGAGCCGTGAACGGTTTCTCACATTTTAAAGATCATTAAGATCTTCCTTTTGTGTGTGTGTGTGTGTGTGTGTGTGTGTGTGTGTGTGTGTGTACACCCCTTTAGAGGCACTTTTTAATAAAAATAAATTGGTTTAAAGTCCTTGAAACTAGTTCGCTCCGCTTTGTAAATGAACTAGATAAATGTGTTTCTGAGTTCAGGTGTTTTTTTGTTTTTTTTTAAGAAAGAGCATGTTGAATTCCTTGAGGAAAGTCCTCTTGACAAATCCCCCCCTTAGGCTGGCTAAAAAGCATATTGAGCTTATCAGCGTGACCCAGATAGATGGTCGACAGGCGTTGCAGAGGTCGCTCCTGTGCAATTGCACTAAGTCATGTCCACCAAAGAAAAATGGAGGCATTCTGCAGTGCTACATCGGGTTCACAAGACCCCCGGCGCCCCCTGAGAAATCCCTGAGATCTGAAGAGAATCATGTTCCCATGATGGCAAAATTACTGCTCAGAGGAGATAGAAGGAACACGCTTGAATCACCTTTCTTTGCAATCCATTCAAAAACGACGCCACACAACGATAACGTTTCGAGGCGGCGGCTTTTGTGACAAAACAGGTACGCGTTAACACGAAGACTCGCTCCAGAATGTACCGGTAGGGCAAAGCTAACCTGTCCTAATGAATCTGCTTGCAAGTTTGCCTCCTCAAGCGTGCGCCAGATGAGTTGAGTACAAAGTTGGCTTCAAGGGATGCACAACAACTACAGCAGCCCGGCGTGTCGTGCCACCCTCTCAGCTTAGTGATGTGAAGGAAGGAGAGTTCATTTTTTTTTTTTTTTTGGACTCTGAGGCGAACAACTTGTGACGCTAATGAAAATGTTGCCCGAAGGTGAAAAAGAACAAACTCTTCATCTCTGAGGACTCAGACGCATGCAAATTGACATCACCATGACTCGTATTACAGGCCCGACATTGACCCTGCGCAAAAAGCAAGTCTTTGGAGAATATCTGCATATATCAAGCAAAAGAACTAGAATAATCAATAAAATGAGCACACACTCAAAGACATGTCCATTGAGCGCGTGTATATTCATCCATTTTCTGGAGCACTTTTTGCTGGTAAGCTGGAGCTGTTATTAGAGACAGCCACGGTTTTCCATCAGTGCTAATGGGAGGCCACATAGCACGATGCATTAACCTAAGCAGATGTATGACAAAAATTTCAATGCATACGTGCAAAATATGTCAATATATTTCCATGTTGAGAATAATATTTGTTCTCAATGCACGCACTCTATAAAAACCCAACAATTTGAAGATTTTTTTTTTCCAGCGCAAATAGCTCTCTTGCGCAGAAATTACCATTCAAGGATGGCACAAAACAGCAAACCAACATTACCTCATTTTGTGCATTTTTTTCCCCCCCACAAATATTTAAACTCCCTCATTATTGAGGAACATTGTACTGCATATCATCCCAAAATTTCAAGAAATATATACATGTATATTAGGCCTCCTCACGTTGTAGTCGAGCATAGTGCAACTACAACTTAAAACGACAGTCGAACGCTGCATATTTGCGATTCGGAACCCACAGATTTGCATATTCTTAGATTTCTTTTTCTTTTTTTTCTGTTTGGTTTTTGCCAAACTGCTGCTCGCAACTCAAAGCGACATAGCTCCTCACGATAAATTCCCGTCACTTGTATATCAAGGCACCATTGTTTTTTTTTTTTTACCAGCATTTTTATTATAATGATTTGGCATCCCAAAATGATTCCGTGCCATTCGACATGACTTTGCCTCACCCATCGGCCTGATAAATCTCAGTAAAATAAAGAACCACAAAATCAGCCCCAGTGGACAGATGGATGACCGAAGACGTGCCCCGGTGCACGATTGCCTGTGATTTGCTCAGACGACAGGAGCCGGTTAATTTGCGGCAATAACACACCTTGGAATGAGTCAGAAGCTCTGAGCTGCACGCAGCGCTCACTTGCACCACCGCTGATTGGGTCCTCATAATGAGGCGGTTAATTACCCACACACACACACACACACACACACACACGCACACACACACTTTACCACCCTCCATTCATCAAGCCTAATATAATGTACTGAGCAAGGGAAGAACACAAGCTGCGGATGTGTGAGCAAAAGTGGTAAATATTACCTGTGAGGTTTGCTCTAATGTCACAGCAAAAATGAAAAATAAAAAAGATATAAGCCACAATGGTCCACCTTTAAGCCGCCAGTTGATTTGTTGTTTGTTAATGGAATGAACTTGATGGAGTTTGGGCTTTGGAGAGCTTTGACATGATTACATGTGAAGAAAGAAGACAAATTTAACAAGTAACGCTTCTTCATGTTTGATAAATCGGAGATAATTGTCCCACGGGGATAAATAAAGTTTCCTGAATCTGAATCAGAGAGTAATACAGGACACCGATACTAAATAAGTTTTCAAACCTTTCAAAACAAAAACAACCCTCCCCCCCCCACAAAAAAAACAAATTAGTCATTTTAAGTCTAAAGTACAAATATTTAAATGCACATTACACAAAGAAGGTATACAGGTGCACCGTGTTGAAATTTTTAATGCGTGAAACGCACAATATAAAGAACATTTGATTTGATTTGATTTGCAAGCAAATTGAAAAGCTGCTTCAATGTGCAGAAACAACAAAAACAAAGATAGGAATATATCCGAACGTTGCATTGCTTTCGTGTGAGCTCAGTGCTGAGAAAGCTCTTGCGAAGAAGCTGCCGCATCTAATTTTTTTTTTTTTTGAAGTGTAACAAATAATACCATCCTTTCATCTTTTCAAACATAATTGAACCTTAACCTATGAGCAGCAGCTAGCTTTCAGGAGCTTTTTGTTGGTTCATTTCCCTTTCTTCTTCCAAACACTAATAGGAAAAATCGAATGCCCAGAGCTTTTCAGGTTTATTTAACAATCAGTTTTCAGTCCCATCTCACTGAACATTATGGCCACTGCTGCCACCGCCGCGAGCATTCAATCTCCATCCAGCGTCCTGTTCTGGCTTCGAGGGAATTTTAATTTGGTCATATTATCATTTTAACGCTTTCTAGTTTCCTGCTTGTGCTAAAATTGCTGCCCTCTGCCCATATATATATATATACACACGCATACACACACGCACACACAGCGTGGCAACGGTTGCGCTATGCATCCACTAGATGGAGCTAAGCTAAAGGGAATACAATACAATTCAATACAGCTTTATTTATGTCGTCTTCACAACCGCTGCAGCTGCAGCTGTAACAAAGTCATGAGAATTGGCCAAAAACACGGACATGAAACATCTAAATACAAATGGCATTACAACACAATAAATGAAAGACCAAAAGTTATGATGACAATTGATTGAACAGAAAGGCCCACAAACCTCGTGGGCTCACAACCACAAGGGCTAAATATCCTTAAAAGTCTTGCTTGTTTCCTTCTTCCTTCGTTAGGTCAGTAGTTAACTCTGCTTTTGGTATTATCTTTGTTTCACAATGGCTGTGCAGAGCTCTCAAAATAGTTGTCTGATTGAATGTGTATTGGCAAATGCAAATGTCAATTAGCGTCTGGCAAAGCCCTTTTATGTTACAATTAGTTCCTCCGAATAATCACCACTAGATGGCGTGGGAGCACTAACAGGGAAACAATTCAATTGCGAATTTAAAGAAATGGTAACACCAGATATAAGGCGCATCGGATTATCGGGCAAATACGGTAATTTCTGTTACGGGTCCGTCAGGTGTGCGCACAGTTGATAAATATCCTTTTTTTTGGGGGGTCGTCACACAGACTTGAAATTCCTGTCGCACGCATGACTTTAGCACCTGTTCTACAAACTCTTTGACAACTGAGCCTACCCCAGTTGACTTTGGCAGAGAGGCGGTTGTTACCCAAGGCTGGTCGCCAGCCACTCTCAGTGGTCATATCGGGAATCTTCACCAAAACCTAACATACGATAAAAATAAAACTGTGGTGTGCGCATGACTTTATGAGCAAGCGTGTTCTCCTGATGAAACAATCCCAAATTGTCTCTCGCCTCTTCTCGTGCCCTGAATGAAGCAGACGCCGCGGGATCTTTTTGTAGATGTGCTGACGGATAATCTGGCCCACGTTCTACTGTGTGCTATTCTGGTTAATAATTGGGATCACACTGGAACGCTCGCTGCGCTGCAGCAGTAATCATTTATTGATATGGAGCCAGGCTAAACTCGGGCTTTTTGTTGCCTGTTGTGTTGTCAGAGGCTCTCATCTCAATGGCTCTTTCTGTTCGCTTGTTTACTCGCCCTTTGTGAACCTGAGCCGAAGCCGCGTTCTCAGCATGGAGTCCTTCTCGCATTCTTTGTGAGCTTTTTTTTTGGCTCCCCACGCATGCTCAAGCTTGAATGGCCAACGCCTCGCGGCAAAGCAGGTTAAAGAGCCCCCCGGTGAGGTTTGGTACGTTGCAGAAACTGCACACGAGAAAAAAAAAAAATTACGTCTTGATAAACGGCTGTCCGAAATAAATGCTTCACTAGGGGCGTGTGAGTTTCCAGTCCTCACGGGTCGCTCTCCTGCCTGGTTCAAATGATCGGCTCATCAGCAAGTTCTGAAGAAGTCTGATAACGTTCCTGATGATTCGAATCAGGTGCGATGGAACTGAGACAGGAGAGCGGCTCCGGGCGACCGAGTTTGGACACGTCTGATTCCAAATCTCATGACAGATATTGCCGCATTGATGCCGCCGATTTCAAGTGAC